GGGCTGGGACTCCCCTGAGCCCTGGGCTGGAGAGCGAGCTCTCTTCCTGGGGCCTCCTGCTAGCCCCCTTCTTCCTAGGAAGAACCACCTGGCAGCGAATCCCCCCGAGACTGTGGAATGAGTGCGGGAGGCATCACAGTCCATTCTCTTACAGCAGGAGCTGGCAAGCTTTCTCTGTAAAGGGCCAGAGAGTGGAAGATTTTAGGTCACACGGTCTCCATTGCCACTCCTCAGCCCATCTGCTGTAGAGAGAAAGCAGCCCAGGACGAGATGTAAATGAATGGGGTGTGGCCGTGTGCCAATAAAGCTTTGTGCACGCTCAAGTCTGAGTGTCCTGTAATTGCACGTGTCACAGAACATCCTTCTTTTGACTTTCCCCCAACCATTTTCAAAATGTAAAAACCGTTCTGAGCTTGCATACAAAAATAAGCAGAGGCAACCAATTTGACACCTGGGCTGCTGTTCTCATACGTCTAATTTTATAACCTGGTTCCTGGAGTTCTTCGCTTTGACTCAATGGAGTTGTTTCTCTAGCTGGATTTTATGATAGAGGGTGACGACATTCATTGTCTCAGTGCGTGGCACCCTGTCCCCACTGGTCCCTACGTGACCCCTGTCTTGTGGGTTTTTGGCTTAGGTTTCTTTGGTTTCCTGATATTATCATGCCTTCCCCCATCTTCCCAGCGGCCAGCATCCTGGTGTGTTTAGTGTGTGTTCTTTAGTCCATATGCTTCTGTTCTTGTTGTTGGTTTTTTATTTTTTATTTATTTTTATTTTATTTTTTTAAAGATTTTATTTATTTATTTGACAGAGAGATCACAAGTAGACTGAGAGGCAGGCAGAAAGAAAGAGAGAGAGAGAAGCAGAGAGCAGAGAGCAGATAGCCCGATGCGGGACTCAATCCCAGGACCCTGAGATCATGACCTGAGCCGAAGGCAGCGGCTTAACCCACTGAGCCACCCAGGCACCCCTCTTGTTGGTTTTTTAAAATGATGTTTTCAGGTGTGCTTCTTCTAAGATGTGTATCATTGGTTTGTGTGTGTGTATCTTTAATTGATACAAGTGGGGTTGCATTGCAGAGCTCATTCTCATGTTTCCACTTAGCTCTGTGTCTAAAAGCTTATCCCTGTTGCCATGTGAACATGGAGTCCTTGCACTAGTTAGAAACTAGAGGGCAGGGCTCCGCAGATCAGTCCACCACCTTTCACTTTATTTTTTAAAGATTGTATTTATTCCCTTGAGAGAGACAGAGAGCACGAGTAGTGGGGAGAGGCAGAAGGAGAGGCAGAGACAGGCTCCCTGCTGAGCTGGAAGCCTCACGTGGGGCTTGATCCCACGACCTGGAGATCGTGACCTGAGCTGAAGGCAGGTACTTAGCCATCTGAGCTACCCAGGCACTCTCTTTCACTTCATTTTTATTTTTTATCTTTTAAAAAATATTTTATTTATTTATTTGACACAGAGAGAGAGCACAAGGAGGGGGAGCGGCAGACAGAGGGAGAAGCAGGCTCCCTGCCGAGCAAGGAGCCCAATGCCAGGCTCGATCCCAGGACCGTGGGATCATGACCCGAGCCGAAGGCAGATGCTCCACGGCTGAGCCACACAGGCGCCCCATCACTTTGTTTTAAAAAAGTGTCCTTGAGTGATATTATGTTTTGACCTTGTGCATATTTGGAAATAGGTACCTTTGCCCTTGAAAGGGGCAGGGAATTTGATTGTGTATTTTAAAAATCAATACTTTTTTCCTTTCAAACTGTAGACAGCTATTAAAATTTAAAAAGTTTTGAGGGTCCCTGGGTGGCTCAGTCGGTTAAGCAGCTGCCTTTGGCTCAGGTCATGGTCCCAGGGTCCTGGGATTGAGCCCCACATTGGGCTCCCTGCTCAGTGGGAAGCCTGCTTCTCCCTCTCCCCCTGCTTGTGCTCTCTCTCTCTCTCTCAAATATCTTTAAAGATTTTATTTATTTATTTGAGAGTGAGAGAGAGCATGAGCAGTGGGGGGAGGGACAGCGGGAGAGGGAGAAGCAGACTCCCTGTGGAGCAGGGAGCCTGACTGGGGTCTCTGTCCCAGGACTTGGAGATCATGACCCGACTGAAGGCAGCCGCTTAGCTGACTGAGCCACCCAGGTACCCCAAAATTAAAAAAAAAAATTAAATACATTAAAAAAATTTTGTGTTGAAAAAACCTGAAGTCTAATTTATTCCTTTTAGTGTTCATTTCTTTTTTTAAAAATAATTTTTTAAAAAGTTTATATTTGTTTTTTTTCAATCCCTACCCCAGCATGGGACTAGAACTCACAACTCTGAAATCAAGAGTCGCTCACTCCACCCACTGAGCCAGCCAGGCCCCCCGTTAGTGTTTGTTTCTATGAGTTTTCATCAAAACATACAACTGTGTAACTGTCACCACCGTCAGACACGGAACAGTTGGGGAAGCTCAGTTCCTCCCCCAGTTTCTTCCTGCCCTTTTGTCGTCTGCTCCCCACCTCACTCCCAGCACCTGGCAATCACTGATCACTTTCTGTCCTATAATGATACCTTTTCTGGAATGGGACATAAATGGGATATGATGTTGTCTTGCTTTTGGGGTATGGCTTCTTCTACTCATCACCATGCATTTGCTGCCCCATTATCATGGGGTGTTTATGGTGAATTTCTTTGTAGATATTTTTGTCATTGTAATAAAAAAATTTTTTTTCAGGCGTCTTTCAACATGTAGGCCACCTTTCTCTGGTATTTGTCCGGAGCACAGTGAGTTCCTCGGGTCTGTGTACCACTGACTGCTCATTCCTTGACATTGTATTACTGATGTTCACACTGTCTCCTGTTTGTTTTTATTAAAGATTTTATTTATTTATTTGAGAGAGAGACATTGAGGGAGAACATGAGAGGCAAGAAAGTCAGAGGGAGAAAGAGACTCCCTGTGGAGCTGGGATCCCGATGTGGGACTCGATCCCAGGACTCTGGGATTGTGACTTGAGCTGAAGACAGTTGCTTAACCAACTGAGCCACCCAGGCGCCCACACTGTCTTCTGTTGAATCCGTGGCCTTCCCCAGGGCAGGATGCCTGCCTTGTCTTTATGTCCTTGCTTATTCGTGGAGGAACCCTTCTCCCCCACCAGTTAAATTCCCTTTGGGGGATTTCTGAAGGTTCCCTAATTCTTACCAACAATATTTTTTTCCTTTTATTCTGGAAAGCAAGTGGGATCCATAAATTGCGACCATTGTCTATTATTCCGAAATAGGTTCTCTGTAAGGTTTGGGTGCCTTCTTTTTGGCAGACTAATTACAATCACTGCATAAGAGATTATTTATACATAACATTTTTTTAAATTTTTTAAATAAATGTTATTTATACATAACATTTCTGTGAAAGGATGTTTTTCCTGCCACATGTAACACAGATTTTCAGTTTTAATGTTTATATAAATGGAAGTGCGCTGCTATTGACCTTGCTTCATAGGCCTCGTGGAGTTTGTGATTGGCTCTTCCCACTTCCTTTGTTTCTATCCCAAGGCAGGCCATGCAGGGGTGAGTCCTCCCCGGGCCATCCTTGACGGACTCTCTCAGTTAGGTCCATGGAGCTTGGTGGTGGGATGTAGGCAAATCCCTACGGGTCTGGCCACGAGGAGCAAGCAGGTCAGAGTCCACTCCCGAAGACTTGGCCAGAGGACAGAGGGGATCCTTCTCTCGGTCTTCTAAAGGGATAGTTGCCTCGCTCATTAAAGAGATTTAGGATTGGCTTGGACCAGAGAAGCTTGTCACCCCTGATTCTGGTCCAAATCGAATGCCCCGCACCCCCAGCACTTGGTAGTGTCTGTTGTTGGCGCCTCAATAATGCTGAATGGAAGTGATCTTGAACCTCTGGAGGTTTTCTCCAGCTCTGCTCTGTACTCCCCGATCCTCAGCAGGGCAGGGCTCCTAGCTGCTGCTCCCCACCTTCCCCAGCACACAACACTCATCCCTACACACACTGCTTGGGAAGTAATAAGAGATAGAGTTTTGGTCTTTTCCCCCAATTCCCCGCACTGGGCTTCTATAAGCCTTGTAATTTCCGGAATGATAAGAGATGAGAGTCTTCTGTAATTCATCATAAACCCTCTTCATCCCCACTTGAGTTTATGCTAATGAGGTGATGAGGAACACACCTATTAGAGGGCTGGAAATTTCAGCCCTACCTCCGGGGCTGGGAGGAGAGAGGCTGGATGGTGAGTTAATCATTAGGACCAATGACATAATCAACCCTGCCTGTGTAACACAGCCCCGGTAAAAACTGAAGGGGTTGGGGAGTTTCTGGGTTGGTCAACACACAGAGGTGCTGAGAGACTGGCCCCTGGAGAGGGCGTGGCAGCTGTGCCCCTCCCCCGCCACTCCGCCACTCCGCCATCTGGCTGTTCCTGAGTTGTATTCTTTATAAAAAGCTGGTAATCTAGTTAAGTAAACTGTTTTCCTGAGTTCTATGAGCCATTCTAGCAGAGGAGGAGGTTATGGAAGCCCCTGATTTACAGCTAGTAAGTCAGAAGCGCAGGGGACAATCTGGACGTGTGGCTGGCAGCTGAGTTTGGGGGGGGGGGCAGTCTGGTGGGACTGAGCCCTTCACCCCTGGGGTCTGCGTTAGGTCCGGGCAGTTAGCGTCATAATTGAGATAAACTGTAGGATATCCAGTCCGTTTCCACCGAGGACTAGATTGCGTGGTGTGGAGAAACCACGGATCTGGTGTCGGAAGCGTTGGTGTGAGTCTAGTGCACAGGAGAAAGGAATGTCCTTTACTCGTATACTCACATTCACACGCACACACTCAGCCACTCATCATCGGGTGAGCAGCTAGGAGGACACTATGGCCAGAGACAGGCCAATTCTTGGTCAGGCCCTAGGCCAGCTGGGGAACGTCGGGGAGACACCCTCCCAATCTGATGGCCTCTGGCAAGGGACCCCAGCCTCTGCCACCTGGTTCCAAGGTCTCACTCGCACCACCTCTAATAGCCTTGTTCTTGGTTTTGCAGCCAGAGCCCAAGGTTGGAGACCTGATTGAGATCTTCCGCCCTTTCTACAGACACTGGGCCATCTACGTTGGCGATGGATACGTGGTCCACCTGGCCCCGCCAAGTAAGGGCACTGAGGGCCTCCACCATGCTGGGCTGGGAGGAGTGGGAGATGGGGCAGCTGTGGGTAACAGGGAAATCCACCTCCCTCATTGGTCCCCAACTGGTGGTTGGTTCCTGAGTGCTGCAAGAAGGAAGGTTGGTATGGGGCAATAGTTTTCAAACTCTGCTCCTTGGAATCCTGGGGTCCCCTACAGGGGCTGAGGTGGGCTTCCAAGGGGATGGCTCTGGTTTTGATGGTTTTAAATACCGTGGGTTTTAATTAAACTTATTCACCTCTTCCGTGTAAAACTCCGTGAGAGAGCATGGGCTTTTGGGATGTGGGCTTGGTGAGGAATCTAGTTTCTACTCTCCAGTCTCGGTTTCCTTATCTATAAACTGAAGCTAAGAGTGCTTTTCTAGGAGAAAAATTGTGAGAATTCCCCCACCCCTTTTCTTAAACTTTTTTTTTTCTTTTAAAGATTTTTTATTTATTTACTTGACAAACAGAGATCACAAGTAGGCAGAGAGAGAGGGGGAAGCAGGCTCCCTATTGAGCAGAGGGCCCGATGCGGGGCTTGATCCCAGGACCCTGAGATCATGACCTGAGCCGAAGGCAGAGGCTCAACCCACTGAGCCACCCAGGCGCCCCCCCCTTTTCTTAAACTTTTAACTTAAACTGAGGTATAACATAAATACAGTAAAGTGTGAAAATATAGTGAAGTGTATAGTCAATGAATTAAAAAAATAAATCCTCCATCCATGTGACAGTGACCCAGATCAAGATCTAGAACATTTCCACTACCCTACGAGGCTCCCACATGGCTCTGCAGCCACCCTCCTCTTCCCGACAGACAACCGCTCTGAGAGCTTCTCTGGCTGTGAACTAGTTTTGTCTGTTCTACACCTTCGTGTGGGAGGAGCTGCAAAGCCTGGGCTTTTTTTGTGTCTGGCTTCCTCCCTTGCCCCTGAGAGTCCTCGGTCTGTGAGCCGTAGGAGGACTTCTCTTGCATTCTGTGTGTTTTCTGTTATATGAAAATACCGCAGCCTGTTACACATGCTTCTGCTGAAGGACACTGGCTGGTTCCCGTGTTTGGCTGCTGTGTACATGGTAGCTGTGACATTCTTTGTCTTTTGTCCACCCCTTTATCCCTAACTGATGGCCTCACCCTGTACATACAGAGGAATCAGAAGGAACCAGAGTGTGTGGCACCTTCCCCAGCCCGATGAACCACACCACAGTCTGCACCCTCCTAGTCTGCCTTTTCTTTGGTTAAGATGCAAGAAAATGCCCCTGTCCTTGTTTAAAAAGCCAGCCTCTGGGGACACCTGGGTGGCTCAGTTGGTTAAGCATCTGCCTTGGGCTCAGGTCATGATCCCGGGGTCCTGGGATTAAGCCCCACATCGGGCTCCCTGCTTCTCCCTCTCCCTGCAGCTCCCCCTGCTTGTGTGCTTTCTCTCTCTCTCTCTCTGTGTCAAATAAATAAAAATCTTAAAAAAAAAAAAAAAGCCAGCCTCTGTATGTGGGTCCTGGACCCCCTCTCTGACTTTTGTGAGGCCTTTGCTCCTCAAATTCCTCACCTCTTGTATTCTCTTGGTCCCCCTCTCTGCTCAGTTATTCCAAATGGCATGGAAACTACTGTAATAACTTCCTGAACAAACAGCCCCTTGACCTCACGTCTTCTCTAGCTAATTTCCTGTAGAGTGAACCTTCCATCATCCACTTCCTCTTGTCATTCTGTCTTTGGGTCCCTCCACCAGCCCTCTGAGCTGATAAGCAAAGGAGCACTTATCAAGGCTACCAAAAGACCCTCCACATCTTGACAAAGCCGAAGGTTGATCTTCCGGTCAAGGCTGACTTGGCTTCTCAGTAGCATCTGACACGAGTGACTTCTCTCTGATCTTCATTGGAAGCCTGTCTTTCTTCCTCTCTCACTTGGGGCCTTCCTTCTCAGTCTCCTGTGTGGGCTCCTCCTCTTCCTCGATATCCCTCATCCTTACTCTACCCAGGGGATCTCCTCGGGCCCCTGGCTTCTAGTACTTTCCGTTGGTGGATGTTTCCTAAGCCCCCCTCAGCATAGGCCTCCCCACTCAGCTTCAGAGTTGTATAACCTCTTGAATACTTGGCATCTCCACGTGGGTGTCGGATTGGCGCCTTGAACTTGACATGCCCTGAAAGAAAGGCTCCTGTGAATGACGCTGTCCAACTGCTGGAGGCCAGAATTTAGGTGTCATCCTCGATCTTTTCCACCCCGTATCTAATGCAACAGGAAATCAGGTTGCCTCCCTCTCCAAGAGAGACTCCAGGTCTGATCACTTCTCACCATCTGCACTGTCTTGCCCATCTGAAGCTTTGCAGCTTGTGGCTGTTCTCTCTGCCTCTTGCCCGCTCGTGCTCCACCCGTCCTTCCCTGGGCAGCCCTCACGATCATTCTAAAGTATGAATTGGATTATGTTACTTCTCTCTTTTAAATTCTTTTTTTTTTTCTTTTTCCCCCTCTGCTCAAGTTTAACAGAAACCACAAAAGATCAAAACCGGTGTCTCGCCACTGGCTCTCTCACATCAGTTGATCTACCCTATAGCGTGGCTCAGGCCATTCTCTGCAGAGGAAGGAAGGCTGGCCGCCCCAGCCCCTGCAGGAGAGGCCTGTCTTGCCCCATACCACATCCGCACTGGATCTAAAGTCTTGTGTTTTCAGCATGACAGTATATGCACAAGAGATTTTGTTTTCCTGGCCGCCCACGGCAGCCTGGTCCTAAAACAGCCCAGTGCTCGCTTCTGCTTGGAGAATTATTCTTTGCTCTTCTGCGTGGCAGGCTTGCTGGTATCATTACCAGGCTTCCAGCCAGCCGGGGGCCCTTTCCCAGGCTTCTCAGTAAACTGGAAGGCCCGAAGTAGTCTCAGAGTCTCACCCACAGAGTGGCCGACTGGGGGTGGGGGGTCATCCTCAGTCATCCGCCAAAGGAAACTGTATCGTCAAGAGTAAAGAAGCACCTGAATGAGGTGCCTTCAGCAGCTTTTAAGACTCTGCAGTCCTAAGTGAGGGTCCACGTGGGGTCTGATACCAGGGGAATGTTTATGGGTCCCAGTCCTCCTCGTTTCTTGGGTGTGTCAGTCCATGCCAGGTGACAGAAATGAGAATCCACAGACAAACAAGCCACTTGGCACTTGAGTTTCTTAAATTCTGAATCACTGACAGTAGTGGTCTCCATGGGGCACACAATGCGGAAATCAAGAGGACAGAAGAAGAACACAACGTATTTTCTTTTGTAGTCCGAGAGGCTGATGCCTTTGAACCGGACATCTAGCCTAATGGCTGTGGCTTCGAACTTGGGGGCAGGGTGCCCAATTTTGGCATTTCCTGAAGACATCTTGCTATTGGTACCTAACCACGCTGGAGCGCCAGATCTCGCCTGGCCATCTCTCCCATCACGGCACCCCAAGCTGATAGGGCAGATCCCTGGGGGGATGAGGAAAAGGCAATGACCAGGGTGTGGGGGTGTTTCTCACCAGCTCTGAGACAGAACTCACCCAAGACCAGTCAGGAAGAAAACGCCTTAAAATTCTTGCCTGGTTTTTCCATCACGCCTAGAGGAAGCTTCCAAGACTGTACTGTGGCCAGTGTTGGCTCAGCAATGTTACGTGGCATGTCAGGACCACTCAGTGATACAGCCAGAATCCAAACCCAGAGTTCCCCTATGGAACTTCCCACCAGAGTGGCACCCACAGCGCGAAGCTTAAGGAAGCCTCACTCTTAGGGATTGACTCTGTACGGGCCTGGCCCTGAGAGTTGGAGCTTCCTTAAATTTTGTGCTGTAGGCACCCTGCTTACCTCACCCCTGTCTCAGCCCTGCCATGCTCCCTGCCTGGGGGCTGAAACTCACCTGGTCCCATTCCCAGGCTAACCCCCTCCCCAGACTCAGAGCTCTGCATGCTACCAGCTCTATTCTTTATTCCAGTGACTCCCTCAAACGCCTCCCGCCCCGCTGGTAGCAAGTCTGAACTCCCCTGAACTCCTCTTCCAAAATCTCAGGAATCTACTCAGGGCAACGGGGGCTAATCGTCTTTTGAAAGACCTGGAATCTGAGCAGCCCTTCCTGCTGTTGCTTGTGGCTGTCCCGTGGTGTCACGTGGAAGACTGTCTGTGGCCCGCCTAACAAGACGCCTCCCCTGTGGGAAAGGGCCTTGGAGATCCCATCCCAGCAGGGCCACAGAGGCTCTTTGAGGGACAGTGGGTCTCTGGGGCCCACTTCTTTTGCCATCATCCCCAGCTGTGTAGGTTGGCTGCCTTGGGAGCCAACAAGACCGGCTGCCCGGTCTTGTGCTGATGTCAGCTTCCCCTCCCAACCATCCTGGTCCTTGGATGGACCCTAGATTCCCTTTCTTTTGAGTTTTCTATTTTTTTACTTGAAATGTAGTTGACACACAATGTTCCATTAGTTACAGGTGTACGGGGCCGTGACTGGACAGGTCTATATGGTATGCTGTTCTCACCGCGAATGTAGCTACCACCTGTCCCTGTGGAGTGTAGTACAACCCTGTTGACTCTATTCCCCATGCTTGTGCCCTTTATCATCGTGACTTACTTCTGCCGCGTGTAACTGGGAGCCTGTACCTCCCACTTCCCCTCGCCCATTTTGCCCATCTCCCCTCTCCTTCCCCTCTGGCAACCAGCCACCAGTTCATTCTCTGTCTGTTTCTGCCTTTTGTTAATTTCTGTAATCATTTGATCTATTTTTGAGATTCCGCATATGAGTGAAATCATAATCATACGGTATTTGTCTTTCTCTGTCTGATGTATTTCACTGAGCATAATACCCTGTAGGTCCGTTCATGGTGCTGCAAATGGCAAGATCTCTCTTCATGGCAGAATAGTATTCCACAGGGAGTTTAATTTCTGGAGCTTGGTTGCCCCTTCCAGCCTTTCAACCTCAGTAAGGGCTGTGCCGGGTGTACCTACTGGGTCTCCCTGGGGACCCACCTCTAGGAGTTGCTGCAGGGTTTTGGTCCCTTTGCTCCAAGAAGGGTGGGAACTCCTCATCCATCCCCCTTTTCTGCAGTCATCAGCTTTGTACTTGTCAAGGGAGTTTGACCTTGATGGAATCACAGAAGGTTCATAATCTGTTCCCCCAGGGAGAAGGGGCTTCTCAGCCCATATTTGCATAACCAAGAGGGCCGCAGAGGAGCCACAGGTGTAGAAGGTCCACTTCTCTAGAAACGTTACCACTCCTCATTTCAGTTTAGGAAGCCAGAGCCCAGAGACCACAAGCACCTTCTCCAAAGCCACACAGCCTGTGACTGACCTTAGTCCCTTTTCCCTTCCCTTCTGCTCATGCTCTTGTGGACGGTGCCAAGGGCCTGTGGATGGATCCATACAGGCCTGCCCAGCACCGATCCCTCTGTTTCCTCTTTGTGAATCCTTAGGCGAAGTTGCGGGAGCTGGCGCGGCCAGCATCATGTCCACCCTGACCGAGAAGGCCGTAGTGAAGAAGGAACTGCTGTGTGATGTGGTTGGGAGAGACAAGTACCAGGTCAATAACAAACATGATGATAAGTACTCCCCACTGCCTCCCAGCAAAATCGTCCAGCGGGCGGAGGAGCTGGTGGGGCGGGAGCTGCCCTATTCGCTGCCCTGTGAGAACTGCGAACATTTCGTGAATGAGCTGCGCTACGGAGTCCGCCGCAGTGACCAGGTGCGTCCTCAGCCTCGTCCCCATCCCCAGGAGCCAGACCATTCCGTCAGCCGGCGGGGGATGGGCATCGGGCATCTAGAAGGCAAATGGATGCCACGCTCGGGGTGGGGACGAGGGTGTGGAGACAGCAGGTCGGCCCCGTGGGCCAGCACAGCTGTGCACCATGACCCACGATGTGAGTCACCGCCTGGGAAGAATCCTGTGTTTTGGACAACACTGTTTGTCTTTTACCCACTCAAACATTGCTCCAAGTGAAGAAAGCACATGAGAAGTTTCCTTTTCCCAAAACAATTCCGAGGCTTTAACGCAGAGAATAAACAGCTCATTTTCGGTGGTCTCGTAGAATTCCTGTTTATCCACATTTAAAAAAAAAAAAGATTTCTTAGCACTTCTAACGAGGGACAGCTTTCGTGTTTCATAATATTTTGCTTTATGACCTGTGCTGCCCACCTGTGGCCCTTTTGGGGTCAGAGCTCCCGTAATTCAGCTCACCCAGCAGCCGGCCCACGAGAAGTCAGCACGTCCCCCCTGTAAAATGTGCACTCTCAGGACTAACCAGGGCCCCCTGTCTTGTGTTTGATTGTACTCTTTGCCTCCGCACCAAGCACACTCACAGCGAGCTGTTGTTGATTTCCTTGACAAAGTTCCTTTTGTACGAAGCCACTGTCTCATGCATTCTCCCTCCATGAGGTTCTGTAAAGAACCGGGGCACATTGTTCCTCCTCCATTATCTGCAGACTGTTTCTCCCACCCTGACAAATCATTTAGCAAGGAAAACGCTGGGAACAAGAGCTTTCACGTGGATCTCCCCGCCCCCGCCCCCCGCCCCCGACCCAGAACCGCTGCGGCTGCCACAAAGCCACGCCTGATGACGTCTACTGTGAAGGTTAAAGACTGACTTGCAGTCACATCTTGGGTCTGTAGCTTCATCCAGACCTTGTCATCCTGGCCTCTGGCTGCTAGGAACCTCAGATCTGGGTACCGTGTGATGTCAGTGACACTGGTGTGATTCCTGTCACCACACACAGCCACGTGGGGCCCACTTAGGGGCAGCGCCGAGATGTATTTATTTTTAGCCCATGAAGGCCTCCAAATTCTCTATAATGGTCATTAAGGGTTTGTGGCAGCCACATGCATACAATCTAGGCAAGTTCTGTGCTTAGGGGAGCAAGGGCAGTGCCAACCGTGTCAGGTAAGGGTGTTAGTTTTGCATACAGAGTTCGTATTTTCATATTTTTTATTCCCGGGATTTGGGGTACATGGTCCTCACTGGACTTGTTGGCATAAAATCATGATTAAACATCTTTTTCTTTGCTTGTTCTTGATTTTGCTTAAACGCCTGGCTTGGCTCATGGGTGAGATTTCTAGATCTATGTTGGTGACCCTCTTTCACGCCCTCGTGTGGGAAAAAGTACAGTTTTGCTGATTTGGGCCATCGTGCCTTCATTGGGGACAGTGGCCATGAGAGCAGACTCTCCGTTTGCATTGTCACGGGGTCTGGTGTCCCCAGAGCTGCGCCTGGGTAGTGCTGGAAATAGGAAGATGCCGAACTTTCTCTCTGTTTCTTGCTGATCTGAACTGTTTCCACTGGGGTCTGTTCCCTTCAGTGTCGCTGCTGGAGCTGATGAAACATGAAGGCGCTGGAAAGGGGGCTGTAAGGACATTGTGGCTCAGAGACTGGGAAAGAAGCAGGGGACAGGGCCGCGGGATACACTGGCCTTGCAGGCAGCCTGCAAATTAGGGCAACAGACTAAAGTGCTGGGATGTTTTCTGAGTCACCTGCTCGTCTTCCTAAAACACCGTGGTCTTTGCCTCCCCTGTGGGATGGTTTCCTCATCATCTTCTTACCTTTCAAGTTTTTTTAGATGTGGCATTGGCATTTGAAGTTGGAGGGTGCAAAAAGCTTTTGTATCAGGTTTCTGGGCTGACTAGGCAGGCTTCTATTTCTTTGTCCTTTTTTTTTTTTTCTGGAATAGTTTTTTAAAATTTAAGTTTTAGATTTTCAAAGTAATGCAAGCATATAAGTTGAAAAGATAACCAGTTCTCAAAAAACCCCTCATTACTCCTCCCCGTCTCACCAGGCAGTCATTCTTTTCTCTTTTAGCTTGGCATTTACCTATTTCTGAATTTCTAAACAATATGTGTATACTACCAGCTTTAAAAAAAAAAGATTTTATTTATTTATTTGAGAGAAAGAGAGTGAGAACATAAATGGGGGAGGGGGAGGGGGAGATGGAGAAGCAGACTCCCTGCTGAGCAGGGAGCCCGACATAGGGCTCCATCCCAGGACCCCAGGATCGTGACCTGAGCTGTAGTCAGATGCTTAACCAACTGAACCACCCAGGCGCCCCACTACCATCATTTTATTCAAAAAATTTAGATATGCTCTTTTGACCACTCCTTATGCTAAGTGAAGGTTAAATTGCTTAAACCATCATTCCCTCCCCTCCCCCAGTCACACTCGATTTTTATATTATACACTTTTTAAAGATTTTTAAAAATTTACTTATTTTTAAAGATTTTTATTTATTCATTTGACAGACAGAGATCACAAGTAGGCAGAGAGGCAGGCAGAGAGAGAGGAGGAAGCAGGCTCCCCGCTGAGCAGAGAGCCTGATGCAGGGCTTGATCCCAGGACCCTGAGATCATGACCTGAGCCATGTTAAGGCAGAGGCTTAACCCACTGAGCCACCCAGGCACCCTCTACTCTTATTTTTGCAACACTTCTTTTTCCTGGTATGAGCGATGCTGTCAGAAATACTAATAATGTGAGGTAGAGCCTCACTACTACTCTGAGTTGGGTCATTTCTTTGAGAACTT